GCACCCCGCATACATTCTGCTCTGTCACTCACAGCCTAGTGGTCTGTATATACCAGGTGCATTGTGAGTGTTTGACATTGTCAGAGACTACAGAGAGTGCATTGTCTTCAGTGGTGAGGAGGTGGTTCAGCAGTAAGCGAAGCCTATACAATGAGTAAATATGGTTGTTTGTCCTTTTCGTTTCTTTTGTAGATTACGGCCTCATTCACACTGGAATCGGCCGGACCGTACAGCTCCGTGCTGCATGCATGGTCGTATCAGGGAAGCTCCCGGGAAGGAAGGTGCTGCGTGTGATTAGTATGCAGCCCCCGTCCTTCTCTATGGAAGTACGCGGCCGTACGCCCCCTTACGCTCACCCGCCCTGCACGTCCGTACGGGTTGGAGTGAGCGTACTCGTAAGCTGACAGGATGGATCCTGTCTGCGTCCGAGTCAGGAACACGCACCCCTACGGACCTGTATTTGAGGTTAGCGTATGGCCGCGTACTCTCATAGAGAAGGACGGGGGCTGCATACTAATCACATGCAGCACCTGTCCTTCCCGGGAGCCGTGCACGCAGCACGATTCCAGTGTGAATGAGGCCCAAAAGAGTTTCTAAACCCAAGAACAAAGAATGTAATATATTGCAGATTGCCGGTCTTCAGATGTGACGGCCACCTTAGTTTTCTTGGTTCAGGATTATCCCCTTTAATTTTCACTTGGGGATTCTGCCAGCAGGGCCGGATTTACTCTCTCTGCTGCCCCATGCCAGCTTCCTCAATGTGCCACCCTGTATGCAGGCGACATCGCCGAGATCACTTGTACAAAACAAGCTGCGGCTTCTTTAGCAGGGCGAAATGTAGAAAACAACTACCCGCCCAGTGCCCAAAACTGCATGTCCCTGCTGCCCCTCTACTCTCTACTCTCTGCTGCCCCTCTACTCTCTGCTGCCCCTCTACTCCCTGCTGCCCCTCTACTCTCTGCTGCCCCTCTACTCTCTGCTGCCCCTCTACTCCCTGCTGCCCCTCTACTCTCTGCTGCCCCTCTACTCTCTGCTGCCCCTCTACTCTCTGCTGCCCCTCTACTCTCTGCTGCCCCTCTACTCTCTGCTGCCCCTCTACTCCCTGCTGCCCCTCTACTCCCTGCTGCCCCTCGATTGGCCTTATGGGAAATCCAGTCCTGTCTGCCAGTAACACACTTCCTGTCCTAGGGTGACAACACTCAGTGTACTGTATCTATAGAGGAGCAGTGTTGCCACCCTAGAACAGGACTCCAGAACCCCCTCTCCCCCTTCTCTATAGGGGAAGCGTTTAGTAGCCCAGAGATAGCAGGGAACAATGAGAACGCAGCACAGCAGAGAGCACAGGAAGTTATTAGCCCCCAAGATTTCTGGCAGGATCATCAGGTATTTTTTTTTGCAATTATCGAACAGATGTAATAAAATGCTTTTACTGGTTAAGAAGCAAAGAAGAGAAGTTCAGTGGTGGTGTTTAGATACACTTTAACCATTGTAAAAATGACGAGTGATACCTTCTGCCAACTTCACACAGAATCCGGCTATCTTGGACTTCTCAAAGGTCCGGTACAGATGGGTGAGAATTCCAAGCCGATTGGACACCTGTAATGGGAGATATGGCCGATCAGTTCTAGGTGGAGTCCCAGGATGTGTATGTGTGCCCATTACAGGGCCCTTCCTAAAGTGGAATGCTAGTCAAGGTGGAGTCTACGGAGTCTCTTGCTGACTTTGCTCCAGATTTGCAATGAAAGAGCGGAACAACAAAGCACAATAACCGTGCGGTACTATTAACCCCTTAAGGACAAAGGCCTTTTTTTCATTTTTTGTTTCCATGTTATAATCCACATTTTAGGCCTGAAAATTACTTGAAAACCCCCAAATATGATATATTTTCTGAAAGGCAGGACCTTATAGAATAAAATGGTGGCAGTTGCAAATTTTTATGTTGCGCGACATGAGCACAGCTTATTATCAAACTCCATAATTTTGTGAAAAATGCACTTAAGTTAAATTTAATGCCCCAAAATACTATATAAAACCATTTTTGTTATAAAATATAAACGATGAGGTTACAACGAGTAAATAGATACCCAACATGCCCAGGTAAAAAATTGTGTTTTGAAAAAAAATTAAACTGCAACAGAATTCAGTACCCCAAAAAGTCCATAGACAACGCTTTAAAAACCCCTACAGGTCATGAGTTTAGAGATACACATAAATACTGGCCCTAGAATTATTGCTCTCACTCCGGCGTGCGCGGCGATACCCAACATGTGTAGCGCAATGATCTTTTTCGTACGTAGGCGCACCCGGCACTTGTTTGCGTGACGATGGGCGTGCTCACGGGGGTGGGGACTTAAAATATTTTTACATTTAATTTAGCTAATCTTATTTTTAAAACAGTTTTTTTTTTTTTACATTACTCTACTTGCTATCACCTACTTACAAGCCCCCCATGTGATAGCAGATGGTGGTGACAGGTCCTCTTTAAGGTGATACTGGGGGTCCAAAAAACCCCCAGTGTCACCTTTACACTCTAAAGAAGCTATAATTGCAGATCGCACTTCAATAGCTTATAGCTGGGCTTCAGGAGCCGAGCACTGAGAGCTATAGGACTGGAAGTGATACAATACGCGTCGCTCCCGGTCCCATAGAACGGGGAGGGGATCGGCAAACTGATGTTTGCTGCTCTCCTCCCCAGCTTCCCACCGACACCTGGCAAACCGCTACTGGGCCCGTAGGAGGGGCAGCGGGGGGTGTCAGGTGCGGGGGGATGGGTTACCGGATCATAGAAGCGATCTGGTGGCAGCTGAGCCGGCAATATCGCTTCAACTGTAAAGCTGGCCGCCTGCTTGACAAAACGGAACAATCTGTGTAACCCCTACCAACTTCATGGCAGGATTATCCCGTCATAGGTCGTGAAAGGGTTATACAACAACTCCATGAGATCTAAATGAGGTTGTACAACCAGATTGTATAGTAAACTTTACAGTAGGCCATAAAAAGAAAATGATACCTGGAAGTAAGTGAACATGGCTTCCTGCACATAGCTGATGTCATGCGGTGGCACCACCAAGTTGTCAGTAGCATCAAACACGGTTTTCATCGCTCGGAGGGAAATCCAGTATGCTGAAAGAAGACAATGGAAGCACCGGTGCAGTGATTCCCGTCACCTTCTGTGAGGTGGCCACTAGATGTTTAGTGATTGCAAGGGCTGTAGTCAGCCTGGCTGGATTATAGTAGCATTTATCTGGTTAATTCCAGGTGTCTGGCATTGACTGTACCTCCCCGGGTGGAGTGTAACTCTGCTGTATTGTGGGACAGCCAATGAGAGACACTGTAAGTGTATGTACAGTACAGCAGCCAATCACTGGGTTTCTCTCAACCCGTGGTGCATGCTGGGATAGAGTACATAGACTGGAGGGCATTGCCATGTGCTCAGACTAGTTTGGGACCAGCCATAGATTAGGGCTAGATGCTGTCCAGCCACCCCCAGGCTAGGCCTGAGGCCTGGGGGTGGGCAGAGGCTGATGTGTGGGAAATGTTTCCCTGGGGCCTCCAGTATGGAGGAGGCCTGTGTTGTTTCCAGAGGAGGAGAACCAGGACAATGGATGGCTCTTGAAGTTTACTGGAACTTAAAGGACTTCAGGGGCATGGCTGGTGTCTCTCCTGCTGAGGATTTATACTCATCCCTGCTCATCTGTTACTCCAATTACTATTCGCAGTACCACAAGTGGATCTACACTGAGATGCTGAAGAGGTCTGGTGAGTCCGTAGTCTGTGTCTGTACTACCCTGGATGTCTAGGACCTCTATACCCTCTCTCCCCAGTATGAAGATGTTAATAAAAGTTATTCAGCATTGCATTACTGGAGTGGACATCAGCTTTGTGGGCACTAGAAGAGGGCGGGTAATGCTAATGGAGCAGCCGAAGACCAAATCCCCTAGACAGACTAGTGATGACCCGGGTTATTCCAGCGGCTCCTTCGGGGGTGAGCGCTACACTACAATGAAGAAATGGCTACAGCGGGTGAGGGTGTGGGGTGATTTGGCATATTAGTAGGGAGCAACATAGAATATTTACTTAGCGTATTTATGCACATGGTCGCCAAGTGACTTAGACCGGCTTTCTGTGATTGTGGACACTGCCACGCAGTGTTTGCATCCCACAGAATCCAGGACACTGCAGAGTTTATGCCAGCACCAAGCACTGGATCTGGGAAGTGATCTCCTGCCCAACGGTGATGGTGTCTGCATAGTTTCAGTGCCATCATCATCAAGACATTCCACCTACTGACCACCATCGCTGGGGCTTTTTTTCCTTCCTACTGAAGCTGGGCTGTTATTTCCTGCCCTTTGGCCGTTTTATCCCTTGACTGACCTATACACACTATAAGGTCATAGGTTTGTGGACACCTGACCACCAAACCATGAATGTGCCCCTCTGCACAAAGCCAGCTCCATAAAGACATGGTTTGATGCAATTTATTTGAAGGAACTTGGCCTGCCCAGAGCCCTAACCTCAACCCTACTGAGCACCTTTGGGATGAATTGGAATGCCAATTCCTTTCACTGACCTATATAGCATGACCTGACCACCAAGACTGTGCCTCTGTACACAAAGCCAGCTCCATAAATACATGGTCCATAAAGACATGGCTCTATAAAGACATGGTTTGGTGTGAAGGAACTTGGCCTATACAGAGGCCTGGCCTCAACCCTACTGAGCACTTTTGGGATGAATTGGAATGCCAATTCCTTTCACTGACCTATATACCATGACCTGACCACCACACCATGACTGTGCCCCTGTACACAAAGCCAGCTCCATAAAGACATGGTCCATGAAGACATGGTAGGACCTAAATCCTACTGAGCACCTTTTGGATAATTTGGAATGCCAGTTCCTTTCACTGAACTATATACCATGACCTGACCACCACACCATGACTGTGCCCCTGTACACAAAGACAGTTCCATAAAGGCATTGTTTGGTGTGAAGGAACTTTGCCTACACAGAGGCCTGATCTCAACCCTACTGAGCACATTTGAGATGAATTGGAATGTAATTTCCTTTCACGGACCTATATACACTATATGGCCATAGGTTAGTAAACACCTGACCACCAAACCTACTTATATAGCCAAAAGTATGTGGACACTCCTCCAAGCTATTGAGTTGAGATGTTTCCAATGTTTGGTACAACCTACAAAGGCATTTTAGACAGTTGGGTGCTTTTAACCTTGTGGGATCTGTTTGTGGAAGACCATCTGTTCCAGCATGATGGTGCCCCTGTGTACAAAGCCAGTTCCATAGAGACATGCTTTGATGAGTTTGGTATGGAGGAACTTGACCTCAACCCTACTGAACACCTTTGGGATGAATTGGAATGTCGATAGTGAACCAGGTCTTCACATCCAACACAAGTACCTTACCTCACAAATGATCTTTTGACTGAAATCTGGCACAAATTCCCACAAGCCTTCCAAAAGCCTGACTGGAATAGTAAAAAAAAGGGTAGGTTGGGAGGAGGGGGCAGCTCCATATTAATGCCCATTGTTTTGGAATGGCATGTCCTACAAGCTCATATAGGTGTGATGGTCAGGTGTCCACAACCATTTGGCCATATAATGTATCTGATTTACTGTACATCTATAGAAACTTTAAAACATATATCTGCAAATGGGATTACTGGCCTTTTACTGACTCAGAAGTACTTACCTGACCCTTCATCACCCATTATGTGTCCCCATCCACCACAGCCAGTCACACTGCCATCGGGGTTCACCAGTTTGCAGATGGAACCAGTCCCAGAGATCAGGACTAATCCACCTGGGGAGAAAGAAGGGCGAGTCAGCTAGGATGTCTCAAAGAGAAACCCTGCAGAATAGAAGCCATAGCTATGGGTCGAAGGCTGTGGATCCCAAGCAGGTTTGATCCCACAGTGAAGGGTCAAGTCTAGCAATCCTTATATGAGACTGCACCGATTTCACTCATTCCTGTACTATGTAAGCAGGGCTTCACCCTTCATGATGGAAGGTCAAACACACCTGATCGCCTGAACCCAGTTTTGCGGCTTTGGCAAGTGTTGGTAAATCTGTACTTATCCTTTGAACTACTTAGGGGTTCATTTAAAAATGTTCCACCCAACGTATAGCCGGGGATGCCGTTTTCACCGCCCTATCATCCTTAGATGGCGCTGACGAGCATAGGAATTCCTACACCCGTCATCTAGTGCCATCTGAACGGCAGATAGCCGGGCGGAACTTTTATAAATGAACCCCTTAGTGTACCCGAGTACATGTTACCTCCTTTTGTTCAGGACAGGGCCTGCATACATGTCACTGCATATTTCCTTTTTTTTTAATTATTAAATTAAAATGTATTATTATTATTTATTAAGTTAAAAATAGCCAAATAGTAATAAAAAAAAAAATATTTTTTAAACTTTAGCTGTATATTTCTTGCCGTTACCAAAAATCCACCAACAATAAACTCTCCTACCACCGACATGATTGGGGATGCCACATTTGTGCGCGTTATTCGTTGCTGGTATCTGTAGTAGGGCCCAGAAACAATAGTGCACGTTTTGCTTTTCTTTTTTTTAACCCAACCTAAAATACACTGACACTAAGGCCTGGTTCACACCTGGGCGTTTCACAGCGCGTTCCTACGCTCTGTAAAACGCTCAACATGTGAAAACCAATGATTTGCCTATGGGCATGGTTCCCACCTGGGCGTTTTACAGCGCGTAGGAACGCGCTGCATAACGTCCTACGCCCAAAGAATTACAGGAGCTTCTTTGGGGCGTATTTGCCGCGCGTATCCATTGGGATACAGCCAGGTAGCCCTCGGAAACGCGCGTTTGTGGTACGTTTTATTTACCGCGAATCGCGGTAAAAACGCGTGGCTTGAAACGCGCACATTCGATACGCCTTGGTGTGAACCCAGCCTAAAAGAGATCAGGCTGTTATCTAGCCAATTGTGAAAATTGTTTATTTTTTCTGCTGTCGATTTTTTTTTGTTTTTATTTGCCGTTTGTATATTTTTCTTTTCGATAGAAGAAATAAAATGAAATAAAATGTATCTCTGCTCACATACTGGGAGGGTTCTACAGCTAGTGCTGGCCAGTCAGAGGTTATCACAGTGATCATGTGATCGGCAGTCCTCCCACCTCCTGATCATTAGTACAAGACCCGGAGCGGTTGGTGACAGCTCAGTTTCCATGCTGGGGGTGCACTGTAGGTGCACATATGGCGCCCACTTTCTTGACGCTGCATATATATCTGTGAGACGGTGGTAAGGAGGTTAAAGGAAACCCTGATGGTGCAATGTTGAGCCTGCCATTGCTGACCTCTTTCTAAATACTGCTATGTGCCTGGCTGTCATGCTGATAAGGGGAAGTCCTTGCAAAATCAGAGCTTATCTGGATATATGTCCCAGGTCAGTGATTGAGTAACGGAAACATTGATCGGAAAGACAACAACCAGCATTTTCGGAAGTCCGCAGTGGCAGGTTTCCTGTTTCTCTTAGCACAGGTCTCCTTAAAACGTAACCTTTCATTAGCATGCATTGCCTCTCTGCTGAGGCTGCTCCAGACATCTCAACTCTTCCAGATGTTCTGGGAGTCTCCCGCTGTAAGATAGCGGCTCCCTGACATTTTCTCCCGGAAAGGTTTACCCTGCTTTTATCAGAGTAAACCTTTCTCTGCTCTGGTTTTTTTTTTCCTTGACATCGTGGCTGCCGGCGCCGTCAGTCAGGGGGGAAAAAACAGCATAGGAACGCATAGCTAGATTGCTTTTGGCTATTTCAATTTACAATAGGCCAATAGCAAGCTTTCAATTGCACCCGCCCTCTGCTGCTATCAATCAGCAGAGGTGGACCTGAAGTTCTCCATCAGGTCCTCCTTACTCACTGACAACAGCAGAGGGCTGTTGCAATAGCCAGCTTGCTATTGGATATTGCAAATTGAAATAGCCAATAGTAATCTTGCTATTCATTCCTATGCTGTTTTTTTTATTCTGATGACAGCAGCGGTCAGAATAATAAAAAAGAGCAGATAAGGGAAGCAATAGCTTCTTTGCTATCTGCCTTCATTTCAGGGGGGGTGCTTCTCTGCCTTGTTGTTGCACCCCCCCCCCCCCCCGCGGATGGGGGGGGGGGCAGAGGGCACCTCCCTGAAATGAGAAGAGCACCTCCCTGAAATGACTTTTTTTAGGTTGGGATCCCTGGGCTGCTCTAAGCTGCATTGTGCATGACCTGCTGTTTAAAAGGAACACTGGAAATAGTGACGGAAGGGTGATAAATATATAAACCTATAAAGAAAATAAACGCACAGCAAATGTGTTAGGAAAAAAACTAAACTTTGGTATCTAAAAGGATCAGAGGGTGTTGAGACATTACCCAGTTTTGTAGCGGTCGCCATGGCACCTATGGCGTCATTGCAGATGTAGTAATTCTCGCTGAGCTGAGGGTAGCGCTGATGCAGCTCTTCGATGAGTTTATTAAGGGCTTCTTTCTGCTCCCCGCCGCTCAGAGACATACCCTGTGAAGAATCAGGGAACAGGGCTAATGATTGCAAGATGGGCAGCAGGCACATGGGCTGTTCTTCACATTGATGGAGTGTGGCAAGCATCTAGTGGCCCCCCTAAGTGTGTATACCATACCAGCCAATATAGGATGACCTCAAACAGTGCCTGGACATGGGCATTTAACACCCAAGGCCAAAATTGTGAACTACCTGAGCTGTAGGTTGCAGGTCCCTCATGCTGAAGTGCCCAAGTGCCCAAGGCGGCCACTCCTCGGCCCAACCCTGACCTCAATTCACCAGCCTGGTGCTGATAGGAGCCCATCCACCTCACTGGAGTCCACAGTCCTACATGGCCCTCCAATGTACACCTCTCTATAGGTTCCTGAGGATGCTCTTATTAAGAAAGAAGGGGGGGGGGCATCACTGGCTTTGGATCTGGAAGTCATCATTTGCATATTAAGAGGTCCAGGTTTGGGGGTTTACACAAGTTTACACAAATTCTTTATCACAACTTTAGGTTCATCTTGCAATTTGGCACCTGTAGCTTTCTTGATCACCAGGGCCAGGCCAAAGAGTGGGCAGAAGGGGATGCCACCTTGGGCGTTTCAGCAGGAGAGGGGTGAAAAAAGGACAGAACCTCTAGCCCATGCTGCTGAAGTACTTCACAGCTCAAGGGAGGGCAAGATCAAATACAAATGCTGACTTTGCTCTTTATCAGTGGTAGGGTAAGGAGTTCAGAGGTTGCTGTTGACACTGACCCTGTACCCCCTGTGACCATTCCTATAAGGAACAGCTGAGACCTCCGAATAATTTTCTCTGGGGCCATACCTACCCTAAATGCAGCCTGAGGCTCTAGAGTGGAGGGAGTGGGGAGGGATGCTGCTGCTGATAGAGCCATATTGTCAGCAGCTCTCTGTCTTGGTTGTCACTTGTTTCCAGGAGCTCAGCGGGACACCAGCCAGAGCGTCCAGCTCAGCTCCCTGGCAACCAATGACATCAATGAGCTGGGCGGGAACCCGGACAGTGTGTTAAAGCTTGCTAAGAGCTTTTAGCAACCTGGGACTCTGTGGGCGCCCACCAAGGAGATGCCGCCTGAGGTGATAGCCTCAGGCTGCCTTGTTAAAGGGATGGCCCTAATTCTCGCTAGTCACAGATCCCCTTTCTATCCTGTGCAGTAAGGAGAACTTGTTTAGCTGCCTTAGTAGTGTAGATTTATTGTCCTTCTGGTCATCCCGGCCAGCACTGAAATTAAAGCCAGCCATACGCCTTTAGATTTCACTCGTGCAGCCCCGTAGTCTTCTTTAGGTAGTAAAAAAATCCCAGAGGGTCTCCTCAGCTAAAGACGGTTTACAGTTCTACAAACCTCCACAGTTTAATGACTTTGTATAAGGGTTATAGAGCATTTGTGTCCAGGAGAACTAATGATTGTATCAGAATCTAAAATATTGTGATGGTATTGCTTTGCTACTACTAGACCTCCTCTTCCAGAATTTGCTTGCTATTAGTATTATTATACAGGATTATACAGTTATTAAGATTAATAGCTGTATGGAAATTGCTCGTAGGAGCCCAAAAGCTTGCTATGGGGGCCCCATGATCCATAGCTATGCCCCTGGATTTATTGTCCCTGAAGAGAAGCTAATCCTGTGTTGTTACTGTTGCTTTTGATGGCAGACAATGGCGAGCGCCCTCTAGTGGTCTCTCAGGAAGCCGAGCATTCTTACCAGACATCGGATGGGAACCTGGACGTCCAGCCCCGCTTTCCCTTTAGCCTCGGTGACCATCGCGTAGATGGCTTCCAAGCACCGGTCTGTGCCAATCAGCTGCAAGGAGACAAAAGTAATGTCGGCTTAATTTATTGATTTATTAAGACTATTGCCCCCTTCCCTGTCTGTCTCTATACCAGATTATTCCTGTATGCACCAGTAACCAAGGTCATACCTCCAAAGTGTCCCTGATTTAGAGGGACTGTCCCTCTTTCCTCCTCAGTTGTCCCTCTTTTGGTCTGATTTACAGATATTTATGACAAGGTTCTATGTGTTATTCTGCTCGAAAACTTTTATCTTATCTCCTAATGATCTTGTTTGCTATTTGGAAAATCTGGTTTAGAAAGAAAATCAATTCTGGGATTAACCAATCATTCTCGGCATATATCAATTCCTATTGGTCCGCATAACCAGGGGTGTGCCCATTGCCTAAATACATTGTGCTGGAAGGTTTCCCTCTTTCTCATGTCAGAAAGTTAAAAGGTATGCTGGGTGTCTTCTGTACAACTGCTGTGCCCATAATGAGGGGCTCCCACCGTCCCTGTACTGAGTTCCTGGGTCTGAACACCTGCTGTGCCCATTATGAGGAGCTCCCACCATCCCTGTGCTGAGTTCCCGGGTCTGTACACCTGCTGTGCTCATTATAAGGAGCTCCCACCAACCCTGTGCTGAGTTCCCGGGTCTGTACACCTGCTGTGCTCATTATAAGGAGCTCCCACCAACCCTGTGCTGAGTTCCCGGGTCTGTACACCTGCTGTGCTCATTATAAGGAGCTCCCACCAACCCTGTGCTGAGTTCCCGGGTCTGTACACCTGCTGTGCTCATTATAAGGAGCTCCCACCAACCCTATGCTGAGTTCCCGGGTCTGTTCACCTGCTGTGCCCATTATAAGGAGCTCCCACCATCCCTGTGCTGAGTACCTGGGTCTGTTCACCTGCTGTGCCCATTATTAGGCGCTCCCACCATCCCTGTGCTGAGTTCCCGGGTCTGTTCACCTGCTGTGCCCATTATAAGGAGCTCCCACCATCCCTGTGCTGAGTTCCTGGGTCTGTACACCTGTTGTGCCCATTATAAGGAGCTCCCACCATCCCTGTGCTGAGTTCCTGGGTCTGTACATCTGCTGTGCCCATTATGAGGAGCTCCCACCATCCCTGTGCTGAGTTCCTGGGTCTGTACACTTGCTGTGCCCATTATAAGGAGCTCCCACCATCCCTGTGCTGAGTTCCTGGGTCTGTACACTTGCTGTGCCCATTATGAGGAGCTCCCACCATCCCTGAGCTGAGTTCCTGGATCTGTACACTTGCTGTGCCCATTATGAGGAGCTCCCCCCATCCCTGTGCTGAGTTCCTGGGTCTGTACACTTGCTGTGCCCATTATGAGGAGCTCCCACCATCCCTGTGCTGAGTTCCTGGGTCTGTACACTTGCTGTGCCCATTATGAGGAGCTCCCACCATCCCTGTGCTGAGTTTCTGGGTCTGTACACCTGCTGTGCCAATTATGAGGAGCTCCCGCCATCCCTGTGCTGAATCCTTGAGTCTACGCACCTGAGGGGCTCCCTTTAACCCTGCTGGATATATATTTTATATTATAGAGAATGTGACAGGAGGAGGCAGAATACAGAAAGCTGGGCAACAACACCCAAATCTTCAGGGGGACAGGAACAGTGCCAGGATATATGAGCCGGGATATCTCACGACATATAAGCAGTGTGCCGCGCTCCAGCGATATAAAAGACGCAGATATTCCAGCTCTGCAATCATTTGATCCGGAGTTCTGCTTTTAGTGAACCTGTTACCTTTCCCTGGATAGTCATAGAACAATGTCAACACAAGTCTGAAGAGGACCTGTCTCTCCCTGTAACATATGGACATCAATAAGCTACCGATGAAGATCTCCCTCTGGAGGTGATAGCACACCCTTACCCAGTGATTGGTGCAGGGGCCCTCCGTCTCACACAGGATCCTCCCATCTTTTGCGACCAGGACAGCCTTGGAGTGCGTTCCACCGCTACACCGAGAGAGGAAAATACAGTACATCACACAATCAAAACCAAGATGTTCACTCATACAGCAACCTCTGACAGTTATACATTCATACTCTCAACTGCCAACCTGCAGCAGCTGACGGACTTACAGGAACAAGAGCGCTTCCCCATATCACTGGTCTCTAACACGTACCTGCTCCTTGGAGGAGAGTGGGTTGGCTCCAGGGAGGAGTTATGCAAATATCAAAATGTCTTAATGGGTGGATGTCAGTCTGGAGGAACGAGCGTTGCGTTAATGGTTGGATGCCGGTCTGGAGGAGAGGGCATTGCGTTAATGGGTGGATGTCAGTCTGGAGGAGCGGGCGTTGGGTTGAGTTAATGGGTGGATGTCAGTCTGGAGGAGCGGGCGTTGCGTTAATGGGTGGATGTCAGTCTGGAGGAGCGGGCGTTGTGTTGAGTTGATGGGTGGATGTCGGTCTGGAGGAGCGGGCGTTGTGTTGAGGTAATGGGTGGACGTCAGTCTGGAGGAGCGGGCGTTGTGTTAAGTTAATGGTGGATATCGGTCTGGAGGAGCGGGTGTTGCATTGAGTTACTGGTTGGATGCCGGTCTGGAGGAGCGGGCGTTGTGTTGAGGTGATGGGTGGACGTCAGTCTGGAGGAGCAGGCGTTGTGTTAAGTTAATGGTGGATATCGGTCTGGAGGAGCGGGCATTGTGTTGAGTTAATGGGTGGATGTCGGTCTGGAGGAGCGGGCGTTGCGTTGAGTTAATGGGGGGATGTCGGTCTGGAGGAGCGGGGGTTGGGTTGAGTGATAGCGGGTGTTGCATTGAGTTAATGGGTGGATGCCGGTCTGGAGGAGCGGGCGTTGTGTTGAGGTAATGGGTGGACGTCAGTCTGGAGGAGCGGGCGTTGTGTTGAGTTAATGGGTGGACGTCAGTCTGGAGGAGCGGGCGTTGTGTTAAGTTAATGGTGGATATCGGTCTGGAGGAGCGGGCGTTGCGTTGAGTTAATGGGTGGATGTCAGTCTGGAGGAGCGGGTGTTATGTTGAGTTAATGGGTGGATGCCGGTCTGGAGGAGCGGGCGTTGTGTTGAGGTAATGGGTGGACGTCAGTCTGGAGGAGCGGGCGTTGCATTGAGTTAATGGTGGATATCGGTCTGGAGGAGCGGGCGTTGCGTTAATGGGTGGATGTCGGTCTGGAGGAGCGGGTGTTGTGTTAAGTTAATGGTGGATATCGGTCTGGAGGAGCGGGCGTTGAGTTGAGTTAATGGGTTGATGTCAGTCTGGAGGAGCGGGCATTGTGTTGAGTTAATGGGTGGATGTCAGTCTGGAGGAGCGGGCGTTGTGTTGAGTTAATGGGTGGACGTCGGTCTGGAGGAGCGGGTGTTGAGTTGAATTAATGGGTGGATGTCAGTCTGGAGGAGCGGGCGTTGTGTTGAGTTAATGGGTGGATGTCGGTCTTGAGGAGCGGGCGTTGCGTTGAGTTAATGGGTGGACGTCAGTCTGGAGGAGCGGTCGTTGTGTTGAGTTAATGGGTGGACGTCAGTCTGGAGGAGCGGGCGTTGCGTTAATGGGTGGATGTCAGTCTGGAGGAGCGGGCGTTGTGTTGAGTTGATGGGTGGATGTCAGTCTGGAGGAGCGGGCGTTGTGTTAAGTTGATGGGTGGATGTCAGTCTGGAGGAGCGGGCGTTGTGTTGAGTTAATGGGTGGACGTCAGTCTAGAGGAGCGGGTGTTATGTTGAGTTAATGGGTGGATGCCGGTCTGGAGGAGCGGGCGTTGTGTTGAGGTAATGTGTGGACGTCAGTCTGGAGGAGCGGGCGTTGCGTTAATGGGTGGATGTCAGTCTGGAGGAGCGGGCGTTATGTTGAGTTAATGGGTGTATGTCAGTCTGGAGGAGCGGGCGTTGTGTTGAGTTAATGGGTGGACGTCAGCCTGGGGGAGCGGGCGTTGTGTTAAGTTAATGGGTGGACGTCAGCCTGGGGGAGCGGGCGTTGTGTTGCATACAAATGCAGACAAGCGTGCACATCGAAGTAAGTGATTGCATCAAGGGGTTAATACCCCCCCCGAGAGTGTGTACGTGATGCCCCCATGACTGAGATCCAGCCTCGGGTAGAGTGACCGCTTAAAGGATCACACCACTTTCCTCACTCATCAGATGCAATGTCTCTTCCCCTCCTCTCTCTACATCACATCCTGTTATTGTTACATGGCATTTGTTGTGCAATAACCTACAGAACATTGTACAGCACCACAACATATGATGGTGCTATATACAGTACATGATTCTTATTAATAAGGAAACGTGTATCTGTCACCATTCATTTGTACAGCACCACAGCATATGATGGTGCTATATACAGTACATGATTCCTATTAATAATAAGGAAACGTGTAACTCTCACCATTCATTTGTACAGCGCCACAGCATACGATGGTGCTATATACATGATTCTTATTAATAAGGAAACATGGAACTGTCACCATTCATTTGTACAGCACCACAGCATACGAGGGTGACATTTACATGATTCCTATTAATGATAAGGAAACGTGGAACTATTGAAGGACAATAAAGAACAGAGAACAGCTGATACATTAGTAATTCAGAGAAAGACAGAGCTCACCCCTCCACTCCTCCATACACTGCAGCCATGCTGGTCATGTGACTACGAGGTCAGCTGACTCTGTGGAGCAGGAAGTGATGGCTCTGAGCACGCTGCACGTAACACACAGCTAAAGAGGACCTGTCACCTCTCCATGTGATCACTGCAGACACTTCCTGTACAAAGGATGACAATAAAAATGATACATATATATACTTTTCTATTTTATTATAAATAACAGAAATGTATTTCAAGAAAAAATAATTAAAGAAAGTTTACATCCATTTTCTGACATTGAGTGAGTTATGAACAGACCTTCTCTATGATCCAGGCTGCTGTCATGGTGAACTGTTCGTGAATACACATGAATGGAATGTCATTTTGTGACATTTTAATAAAGTTTAAGTAACCAGTGTGATGCGTCATTTACAACTAGGGCTGTAACTAAGGATTTTTGTTATTATCAATTAGTTGTTGATTATTTTCTTTGTTTAACTTGATGTAAAAAAAAAAAAAAAATCCATCTTTATTTAAAATAAAATACACAAATGGAGTGTTACAAACATAAAGTTCACTGCAGAATTAAAACTGCATGCACAATTTTTTTTTGCAATCGTACTGGAATGCACAGCATTGCGTTACCGTGCGTTCCGGCGCGGGTGATCACACTGCGGGGCGGGAGGCGTGTTTAGAGTGCCATTGATATGAATTGCACCATAACGCAATTCCCGCAGCAGAATCTGTGAGGCCGAAAGTGAACATTACTTTCCTTTATTTCTTTACATTTTTTAAAACTACTTTTGAAAATTATTTTAAAATTATAATTTTATAATTATTTCTTTATTATTTGAGAGGAGCTTAATCCCATCACTGTAACAATGGCCCCTCCAGCCAACCTGCTGCCTTTAGAACAATGGTTCCCATCAAGTCACATAGTGACCGTCTCTCCCCAGATAAAATAGTAAACTGTAAAATACCCCCAGCACACAAAGTTCTCCGGGGCAATGAATCTGCAGCCCTAGGTCCGTCACAATGCTCCCCCCCTGTTCCATAGTCCGGCAGACTCGGCTAGATCCACCACGGGTCAGCTTGGGGCTGTCCGGAGCATGAGCTTCATTCACAAGTCAGTTTGCCGGGAAAGACCGTCCGCGTTGCCGTTCTGCTTCCCCGGCCGGTACTGAATAGTAAAATTGTAGGGCTGCAGGGCAAGACTCCAGCGCAACAAGCGTCCATTATCTCCAGAGACTCGATTCAGCCAAACTAAAGGATTGTGGTCGGTGAGCACCGTGAAGGATCTTCCATACAGATAAGGCTGCAATTTCTTCAAGTCCCACACCAATGCCAAACACTCCTTCTCCACGGCTGCATACCCAACTTCCCTGGGTAGCAGCTTGCGACTGATGTAGGCCAACTGGTGCTCACTGCCGTCGTCTCCCACTTGACTCAGTACTGCTCCCAGGCCAAAAGTGGAGGCATCTGTGTGAACACAGAACCGTTTGTTTGGGTCCATCGCTTGCCACCAATGTGACGGACTCCCTGATACCCCGACTGGATATCTCCGTCTTCAGCCTATTTCTTGAGTGCTGGAACCAGAAGCGGTGACTATAGCATGGAAGGCTTACTCCAAGAATCAGACAAGACTGACTTTGGAGTGAAACAACAACTGCTTTATTGAGGCCGAGCACACAGAATTTATATCTGACAGGATTAGATAAGAGTTCATTGTTACATGGAACAGTCCCCTCCCCCAGACCCGGGGCAATGAATCTGCAGCCCTAGGCCCGTCACATAAGAGTTAGGGGGTTAGGTACTGAGGGTGGGTATAAGAGTTGGGGGGTTAGGTATGGAGGAAGGGTATAGGAGTTGGAGGGTTAGGTACAAAGGAGGGGTATAAGAGTTGGGGGTTAGGTTAGGTAGGAGTTCGGCTGATAGGTGTGGAGGAGGAGTATAGGGGTTGGGGGGTAGGTATGGAGGAGGGGTATAGGGGTTGGGGGGTTAGGTACGGAGGAGGGTTATAAAAGTTGAGGGGTTAGGTACGGAGGAAGGGTATAGGAGTTGGAGGGTTAAGTACAAAGGAGGGGTATAAGAGTTAGGTTAGGTAGGAGTTCGGCTGATAGGTGTGGAGGAGGAGTATAGGGGTTGGGGGGTAGGTATGGAGGAGGGGTTGGGGGTTAGGTATGGAGGAGGGATATAGAAGTTGGGGGATAGGTATGTCGGAGGGGTATAGGACTATGGAGGATAGGTGTGAAGGAGTCCCCATATTATTGACTGGAAAGTCCTATGCATCTGCTGGGAAGTGATCACCGGCTATCAGTACAGACGCTACTGTGATAGAAGTTCGAACACTCACACAGAGTACTACCAACAGGGATGACAGCGGGGCCGTGAGGTCCTCCATGTTGTAAATGTCCTGAACCTTTGAAAGCCACAACTGAACGGAGGGAGGTTGGGATTCTCTCCACATCATTGGAACGCAGGCTCTTGCAGTGTTCAACGAATGATGTGTAAGGGAAAGCCGATATTTAGGGACCGGTCGTGTGGTTAGATGTAACAGACAAGCAGCGGGATTGTCTCTGAGGTTCACCATGGTCACATTTTCAATAATGCCAAGGACACAATCCCAAAAGGATCCCAGGCTTGGACTATAGCCGAACCACAACCCAAACACTAATCCTTCATTCAACCCTCCCTGTAACCCTAATTACCCTCCCCTAACCCTCACACTGATACTCCCTCTAACACTAACTTTCATCTTCCCACCCAAACCTCATACTAACCCTCCCTTAATCCTAACACTAACCCTTACTATAGCCTTAATACTAACCCTTACCTACCACTGATTCTCCTTGTAACCCCAACACTACACCCCCCCCCCCCCCCCCCAGTAACTTGAACTCTGTTTCTCCCTGTAACATTAACAATAATCTAATAATCCTCCCTGTAATCCTAACAATGTCCCTTCTTGTAACCCTAACACTAACCCTCCTGGAACTCCATAATTATCCATACCATTAGCCCTCCCTCTATCTCTGACACTAACCTTCTCTATATACCTAATATTTGTTAATCAGTAACACTCCCTGTAATCTTACCACTAACCTTAACACTAACCCTCCCTGTAACCCTTACCGTCCATGTAACCCCAACACTAATCTTCCCTTTAAAAACCTCACAGTTACCCTCCCTGTAACCCTAACAATATCCCTTCTTCTAACCCTCACACTATTTCTCCGTGTAACCCAAACACTAACCCTCCTGGAACTCCATCATTAACCCTAACATTAGCCCTCCCTCTATCACTGACACTAGCACTAGCCTTCTTTCTATCCCAAATATTTGCTAATCAGTAACCCTAACACTAATCATCCCTTTAACCCTTTCAGTGACCCTCCTTGTAACCCTAACACTAATCATCCCGGTAATACTAACCCTCCGTGTAACCCTAACACTAACCCTCCCTGTAATCTTAACACTAACCCTCCCTGTAACCCTTGCCGTCCATGTAACCCCAAAACTAATCTTCCCTTTAAACCTCACAGTTACACTCCCTGTAACCCTAACACTAACCCTCCATGTAACCCTAACACTAACCCTCCGTGTAACCCTAACACTAACCCTCCATGTAACCTTAACACTAACCCTCCGTGTAACCCTAATACTAACCCTCCCGGTAACCCTAACACTAACCCTCCCTGTAACACTAACCCTCCCTGTAAGCCTAACACTAACCCTCCGTGTAACACTAACTCTCCATGTAACCCTAACACTAACCCTCCATGTAACCCTAACACTAACCCTCCATGTAACCCTAACACTAACCCTCGTTGTAACACTAACACTAACCCTCCGTGTAACACTAACCCTCCCTGTAATCCTAACACTAACCCTTCATGTAACCCCAACACCTACCCTCCCTCTACCACTAACACTAACCCTCCCTATAACCCCAACAATAACCCTCCCTGTAACAACAACACTAACCGTAATACCAACCATCCCTTTAAACCTAACATTAACCCTCCCTGTAATCCTAACACTAACCCTTCGTGTAACCCTAACACTAGCCCTCCCTGTAATTCTAACACTAACCTTAACACTAACCACCCCTGTAATCCTAACACTAACCATCCCTGTAACCCTAACACTAACCTTCCCTGTAACCCTAACCCTCCCTGTAATCCTAACACTAACCCTTTGTGTAACCCTAACACTAGCCCTCCCTGTAACCCTAACACTAACCTTAACATTAACCATCCCTGTAATCCTAACACTAACCATCCCTGTAACCCTAACACTAACCATCCCTGTAACCCTAACACTAACCATCCCTGTAATCCTAACACTAACCATCCCTGTAACCCTAACACTAACCATCCCTGTAATCCTAACACTAACCATCCCTGTAACCCTAACACTAACCTTCCCTGTAACCCTAACCCTCCCTGTAATCCTAACACTAGCCCTCCCTGTAACCCTAACCTTCCCTGTAACCCTAACACTAGCATTAACACTAACCCTTCCTGTAACCCTAACACTAACCCTCCGTGAAACCCCAACACTAACCCTCCCTGTAACCCTAACACTAACCCTTCATGTAACCCTAACACTAGCCCTCCCTGTAACCCTAACACTAACCCTTCGTGTAACCCTGACACTAACCCTCCCTATAACCCCAACACTAACCCTCCCTGTAACCACAACACTAACCGTAACACCAACCATCCCTTTAAACCTAACACTAACCCTCCCTGTAACCCCAACACTAACCCTTCCTGTCACATGAACACTAACCCTCCCTATATTCCCAACACTAACCTTAACACTAACCATGCCTTTAAATCTAACACTAATCCTCCTGGTAACCCTACCTGGACTCCAGCCCCCTGCGGACAGTTGCCGTAGACCAAGCACTGACCCGCGGTGGAGATACTCTGACTTTTGCACTGTTAGGCCTTGTCCACACCAAGCGCGGAGCAGGTGCAGACCGGATGAAAACTGCGCCCAATCTATTCCAATGGTATTTTTTGCTCCAGTTCACATCGCAGCGTTCAGTTCCAGAGCAGGTGAAAAAACTGCAGCAAGTCCTATTTTACCTGCTCTGCATC